ATGTGGTCCCTTTCCTACCCCAAAAGGTTTTATTATGACTAAGGTAAGCGTCTAATACGGTAGATTATCGCACAGATGGTCTCGTTTGTTTCGAACTAAGATTAGCATAAAGATGTTAGTTATAATGTTCATTAACTTCATGCATAAAGCTTGTAGCTCTCTTGTAGAATGGTGTTTAAGACACCTGGATACCTGGGCGAACCCTATCCCGAAGAGAAAAGTACAAAGTTTCGAAATAGTATCTCAACTAAAGATTGATTATAATAACATTATAAATATACTAATATTTTTTCTTTCTAATAATATCAAAAGTATTGAAATTTGTACTAGAAAATGGGCAAATGGGGAAAAGCATCTGAAAGCCGCCGAGCAGTAGAATAAGCAATGGTGAGCAAGTGCGAATACCAACAGTGGAAAAGTAGAATAAAAATTACATATAAAAATAGACAAACATAGGAACATAAGTAAGGAGAGAAAATAAAGTAGTAATACATTAATTTTCCATAATAATTCCAGGATTGAGAGTAGCCACAGACGATCTTGTGTTTTGCACGTCATTTATAATCGTTATTGTAAATTTGCAGTTCGGTGTTGTTGCTATTTCTCATACGATAATGAAAATTTCTGGCAAGATGGTAGTAAAAGGTTCATAGCTTGACAACGCCAAGCACCCCATGAGTAATGTTGTTACGAATGCACCATGGTACGTCCGTAATCTGTCTCTGAACTTTGTTCTGGGCAGTTTGCAACTTTTTCCTGTAAGATTTACATGAGTATGCCCAGACCGGACAAGCAAACAGTAGCAGTAGGTGCTGTAATCTGTAGTTTATTCCTCTGACTGCAGTTTTTCTTGTGATTTAAAATTTCGCAGTTGCAGTTTACGCTGTAGTTTCAATTTTTAATATTTACAGCTGCATTTTTCGAATTTCAACTGCAGTTATTCTGCAAACATTACGCTATCAGTAAGTTCAGAAAAATGCGACTGCAGTTTTTGCACTACTTTAACGCGCCAAAATTAAAATTTTCAGTACCGCCTTTACTATTTTCCATTCTTGGAGTTTCCAGTGAATTAACTCTTCGTCAAATTTTTTTTTTTTTTTTTGCTTATATATAAAAAGCACGATTTTCACTGTAAATTTTGTATTTTCTATTCCTCCGCCCCGGGAAGTTTGCTTCCTAGAAATTTTAATACTTGTCCCACGAACTTTCTGAAATGCTGTCAAGTTGTTGATGTGTTGTTCCACGACTTTCTGAAACTATCATATTAAAGAAGAAAAAAAATGAAAGCGAAGCTAGAATTTTTATAATGGAACTAAGAAATTCAATTTTTTCCTCCCTAGGGGATGTAATTTTTCTATGATAACATTTTGGCTGGATGTTTGCAACGGGTTCATATAACTTAATAATTACTTATCACTGTAGCACTTGGAGTCTATTATCTACGACCAATAATAGATGTACCCATTTATTCTGCTTCATAAGCTTCCCGATTAAATACCCTATCAAACATGCGTGTTATTTGCTTACAAGCATTCGAAGACCAATTCTGTTAATTCGAATTTTTAATATGCACTGCTTAGCGGAATGTTTGCAAATTTGTCTTGATAAAAAAAAGTCATTTGCTTTGTGCATTAAGCCTTACACTAAGTTTAGAAGTAAGTGTAGATCCCATTAAGTTCAGAATATTTAATGAAGACTTTACTGTATTGTTTGACAGTAGAAGATTCCCTCAAATATTAATTACTTCTACCGCCCTCTTGTAACACTAAAGAACGGAGTGGATTCCAGATGATGACTATAAAACGCATAATAATGATTTTTTCGTGTAAACTTTTAGTTTTGTTTGTAAAGAAAATTCTTTCCTTAGATAATGATGGCCTCACAGCAAGTATGTCGAATTTTTTTTTTTTTTTTTTTTTTTTTTTTTTTTTTCCCATGAAGAAGATTACGAAGAGAGAGTAAAAATGCCTTGTTAACTATATCATGGAATACTTGTAGTCATATTATTTATAGATAAAAAGAAAATTTTTAAATGTATACCCAACAAAAGAACTGCTAATGCAAAAATTCAAAAAAATAAACAAAAATGTTTTCCTTGTATTGCTGGCAAAAAGTTTAGGAAAGTTCTGCGCGTATTGATTTTTAGTACAGAAAATTATGCGAAAGAAAATCAGTGAACTTCAACACTAGGACTTAATCATTAGCTGAAGTAATATGTTTTTGGAAATGTTGATCATCTGGTGTGTTTTGCCTTCGAACTATGTCCTTTTTTGCTGTAAGACAAATTGTTTTTTTATTATTTAAAGTGTTTGCGACTTTGTAGTTTCAGCTACTGATTATTTCGATACATTCTAAGCTAATATACTAGTAATGCTATCGAAAATGTTTTAATGCTGTAATTACACATTTAACATGAAATATAGTTTATGCTCATTAATTATTTCCATAAACGCAGTTATAGTTAAACATATGACATATGATTATGACCAAGTTTTCCATATTTTATCAGACACCATATTTCTGGAATCAGTTTGTATATACACATCAGTTTCATCAAATACATCAGGTTCTTACGGTGATCCAAAAAATAATGGTGAGGCTTGCTGTCAAATTAGGTAATAAGAATGCTATTCGCTGTATGAAACTGATTTACTGCAGTATGCATTACAGCATCGGATTTTAAGCTTAATGTGTTTGAGCACCTCTTTTATATGATGTGCATTTTGCCGAACCCGTAACCATAAATTATGATATTTATGTAATATGTTTTAACATGAAATTAAGCAAGAAATTAAATTTTAGTTTTAAAAAAAAACCTCTGGCTATTAACTTATGGATCTCCTGGAGTCTACAGCTCACAGTTTAAGTATCATTGTATTTCAATGTTTCTGTGCGGCTACAGAGCTAGGCAAATACTGTAAAGATATTCAACTTTGGAGCATTGAATGTACAAGGCTAAAGCCTGTTACTGCTGCGCATTGTCATGTCATTATTTTCGTATGTCCTCAGAAATGTATCACAGAGATAAACTGCATAAATGACTCCCAAAAGAAATCTAGCAGGATGGAATTTGCGCTTTTTGGGGACTCTGGATAAACTCAGTGGCGCAACAGCCGTAGTGGGCCAAGGCCTGCAGTGCCCGAAATACCGAAAAGCTTTCTTGACTGTTGGCCCCAGGGTGCATGAGCTTATGCCCTCAATAAGTGGTCAGCTTGTCGCAGGACCCCCGGTGTTTGGTCCCTAAGCGAACTTGGTACTCATTTTATCGACCCACTCAAGGGATGAAAGGCTGAGACAACCTTTCGATCGAACTCCGGACCTGTGGTGCCGCTGCGCGATGCGCTAGCCACTGTGCCACCGCCCCCCCCCCGTTGTGGATAAGGAATCTTTAATATACATCCTGCACAAGTGCGCAAATGTGGTACTTATGTGTGATTATCCACAGGAATAGTAAATGTATGATTATCCACAGGAATGGTATTACGACTATTGCTTTCTGAGAAAAATGCCATATTGGATTCTTTTTAAGTCCTTTTGATTTTAATTTAGAGGTTATGTTTAGATACACTCGTTCGTTAACAGTAGAAGCTCGAAACCTCAGCGTTAGAGCCTCAGCTTCAAAGATTCTGCTTTTAGGGTCAAGAACCACTTAAAAGTTGAAGAGGATTGATTATCTGAAGCTCCAAATCACAGTATGATAGATATGCATTAATATCAATTCCAGGATATGTCACTTTTTCTGAGCAAGTGAAAAAAATATTTAGAAGCTGTAAATTCGTCTACAAAAGAGCTACTAGCGACTTCATATTAAGTGCGTGTTATATCTAAATGGTAAATAAATAAAGTCTAAATAAACTTCTATTCTGAATCGTTTGGATTTTGAATTCCTCCCATGTTCATTCATTTCACTTCTACCACTGATTCTACTGAAGGTTTTTTACCTGCTGAGGTGCAAGATGTATCTCTTTGCGCTGTATATCCTCGACGTTTCCCTTGATTTCATTTTCATTTAAAGTTTTACTTCTCTTCTGCATTAATGATTGAAAAATATTTTCAGGCCAGAGAAATTTAAATTTTACAAAACCGAATGTTTATCTTTAAGATATGGTCATACAGTAGAGTAATTTTATAAATGAATATTCTTGACATAAATTATAAACTCGTGCTCCTTCTGTGCAAAAAGAGAGAGTATTCCAGGAAAATTTTACATTTGAACGAATTTACTCGTGCATATAATTCATGCTCTCGAGTTTTTAAACAGCCAGTGAACAAAGGGTGAATTTAAATTGAACTACTGATGATTAATACCTATGTTATTCTTCTACAAAGGGAAGGCTATCATTCTAGTGGCTTGGTTATTCTAAGCTGAAAGTATAATTTGATTTTAAAATTTTATAACATTCTATGTAATACCTTTAAATACTTCAGTTAATTTCAAAATTATTTTTAAAATATGCTAGTTATTTTAAAATAACTATTTTCGTCGTTTATAAAACAGCATTTGTTGTTAGTATAATGAAATGTTTTTGCCTTAAAAATGAGTGTTACAAAAATGAAAATTATAAAATTTATTCTGCTTTATTCGGTTCATTTGTGGTATCTGATACTTTATATATTTAAAACTAATGTCTTGAAGTTAAAATTTTTCAGACTTGTGTCACGAAGTTTTCTTCTTTTAACTTATAACATGTTTTTAGTGTCAAGTAATAATTAATGTCAAGGTTCATTGCTAGTTATATTTACTATTAGACTTTGTCTACCTCATAGAGAGATGAGCGATTAGAATTTTATAAGTGTAATACATTTATATACCAACTGAGATACTGATAGCCATTATTTTATACTAACTTTATTTTTTTTTAATTTACGTTTGAATTTCTTTATATAAACTTAAGACTCGTTTTATTCATAGCACATGTACATATGCCATGAGTATGAGTTCTTTGGCAAACAAGTCATATGAATTTCTCTGCAATACTAAAGTTTTGTCCTCTTTTCAGCCAAGGACAGTCTCCCGATGCACTTATCTGACGACGCCATGCCGTATCCGCGCCCGGAATCCCGCCTAGCCGGGGAACAGGCTCGTCGTAAGAGGAGAGGCAACCTTCCAAAAGAATCTGTTCGCATCCTGCGTATGTGGTTATACGAACATCGCTACAGTGCTTATCCATCCGAAAAAGAAAAGGCTAAATTAGCTGAAGACGCCAAATTAACGCAGCTGCAAGTTTGCAATTGGTTCATAAATGCTCGACGTCGTATCTTGCCCGATATTATCCGTAAAGAAGGCCAGGATCCTTTGCAGTACACAATTACAAGAAAGAATGGTGTCAATATGCCCCGGTCAATGCCAACATCCGCCTCAATGAACAGATCTAACAACTACATTCGTTCGATGGATTCGAACAATAGTCCAGTTTCTTTAACAGATGACAGTGTTACTGATGTAGATGCTGATAGCGAGGACTCTGATAACAGTACTACGTCCACAGCATCCTCTCAGATCAGTTCGTCTCAGGAAGCTTGTCCGCTCAAGTTAACTAAGCGATGGCAAAGGACGCACGAACAGGAACTGCTCGTGCAGCCCCCTTCGGAAACGTCTCTCCATTGTACAGTCCTGCATAGTCCGCCTACAGTGAATGAGAAAGCATCTCACCAAAATGGTTTTGAGGAAAGCTCAAAGGCATTCAAAGCCTCTAAAGAGGACTCTTCTGTTTCCCGGAACTCTGACAATTCGACTCAAGACATGTGGACATCCTCCAATACACCTCCGCTGACTCCTCCATCGTCAACAGTCGACAATTCATTCACTCGTCTTTACATTCTGGTCAATGTTGCTTGCGAGGTACGTGACCAACAGGAGCGTGAAGCGAAAACGACTAATGTTGAGTTATGAAAGGCTGTGTTGAAATTTAGCTTTTCATTATTTTAGTGCCTTATGAAAGTCTCTTCAAAATGTCTTTTCGTGATCCAGGGCCGTTCCTCCTTATTTTATTTAGGAAACCATTTTGCTCATATGTCTTTTATGTTTTTGTAGTCATTGATGGAATATCATTCAGTTCATATATTTTTTCTAGATCAGAATTTTTAGTCAGTGTTGTGGAATCACTTTGCAAAAGCTTACCATGAAACTAGATATATCAAAGAAATGAAATCGTCATTAATGGTAGCTTTTTATTTTATTTTAATCTTTTTATGCGTTTTTAAGAAAGCATCATCTTGTTCAATGCATTAAAAACTGTGAAAGTTTCATGAACTTCAATCTGATAATTACATAGTTTAGAAACTTTATTATTAGCTATAAATTGAGATATTTATTTTAAATTTCTAGGCAAGGAATTTTTCTGTCATTGAAAGACATAATCTAGATATCTCAGAAACTGAGATTTAAGAATACTTTAAATCAAATCAAAGTAAAATAGAGATAAATGTAATGCTATAAATTACTAAGCACTGAATGCAAGTCATAATGTAATAAAAGGTCCCAAAATCATTTTATGTCAAATTAATTAGCACGCAATATTAGAAAAATGTAAATTTGACTAATATTATTCTAACAGCAAGCAACGATTTATTATCTGAAATTATTATACTTGCATTTAGATATTCATAAATAATGTGCATAAAAATCTGCGTGTACATGTTTATAAAAGTGTTAAAAGTAAATAGTTTTTACCTCCAATTGTTCTGAATATGGTATTTCTGAATTCTGGTCTCTGAAGTATTGTATATCATTGTGACTTGAATTTTATTAATTAGATTTAGACAAACATAATTTCATAGCTGATAATGCTGCATATTTGTCAAAACTATGTTATCTAAAAGGCAAATGAGTCTTAAACTTTGGTCATATTGCGTTATTTTGTACGATAGTTGCAATAGCTTATTTGCACAATAAAATTTTCTGAATGAACTTTTTTATTCGCGGCAGTTATGAAATACTGAATGAGAGGCTTAGTTCTAAGTCGTTGAACTGTAATAGAAATGCGTAATTTCGCCGAATTTGTCAAGTCCATTGTATTTTACGAACTACATTAACTGCCACTGTAAATGTCCAATGTTGAGTTTAAATTATATTTTCATATGTAATCTTGAATGAGCAGTTTTACTTTTTGTATCCAGCATTTCCTGTAGTTATACATTTGTGCATTTTTATCATTCATATTTTATTTTTATTTTTGTATGAATATCAGAGTATCATTTGAATTGATAAACATTAGGTGCCATTAAGATAACATTCATAAACACAAATTCTGTTTCGCTCCAGAAGATCCTTACAGTTAGCCCACTATTATAAGTCAGTGTTGTTGCATGTTAAAAAATGGTTCTGTGAGCCTTGTAGCTTAAAATTTAGTGGCATAGGACACTGTTGTAGTCTTATGTGACAAACAGCTAATAGCTTTTACTTGTGCCATCAATTCCTTGAGACGACCATGCATTAAAGTGATGTAGAATGATATTTAGAGTACTCTAATAGTCCTCTAAAATAGCAGTTCTTTATGAGTTTGAGAACACCTCCCATAAGATGTTCAATAAACAAAAAATTAATTTTGCGAGAGTCTTAAATGTTAAACTGCGTGATATTTTTATTATATTTTTCATAATGAACTTAAAAACTAATAAATTTTACCTTGGAAAATCTGTTTTAACCCCCCCCCTCCCTTTTAATTCAGATCCCGAGGGTTGTGCAGCTCAGAGTTGAAGAATTGATGTTCTAGAATATAAGCATGACTCTAATATAGCTGACCCTCACTTTGTTACAAAAAAAATGGTAACTTTTGAAAATTGCTTTCCAAAGATTCATCTCAGTATTTTAATTTCGGCTTTTAATGCTACTGTCGATGCCCATCATATAAACTTTTGATCGCTAAAGTTTTTTAGGTTATAAAATCTTCCGTATAATTGATAAATGATAAGCTTTACGCTGGTTGGTATTTTCTGTGCAAAAGCTAAATACAGATCGTATTTTAATTCGCATTCAAATTTCATTTGAGAAAATAACTTAATTTTGAACATATTTATTGTACAATAAAGCTTTTTCTTCTCTGAAAGAATAAGAATTTAATCTTTCTTGAAAGTGATTAGAGTAATAAAGCAGCTTTCACTAGATTTAAAATTTGTTATTTTAGCTGCTACTAATTATTAAGAGTATGAGATATGAATTTTTAGTTCTGTGTTTTGTAAGTTACTTGAATAATTTAAATGCTGTAAGTTCTCATCTGTTACCTTGAGCAGCCTTGAGGTAGTTTATTTCATAGTCTCAAACATAAATTATTGCCATATGAAATATAGTTTACAGTACGGTACAAAGCAAATTAGGTCTCTACCTAAATTTCTACCTCAAACTGTTTTGTTATCTCTTTAAAGCCACTTTTTCATTTTTTATTAATATTAGCATCAATCTTAAACATTGTTTTTACATTAATCATCTCTCTAATTCTTCCCACTTGGGTGCATAGATATTAATTTTAATGTGTAGCATATATAATGAAGTCTTCCAGCTCTGCGAAAATGCGATTATTGAAATGAATTTTATAATCTAAAATATTTCTCTTTGACTTAATTTTTTGCCAATATGTATGGTTGTAGATTAGTATAATAAATTTATGCATAGTTGTAAATGATAAGCAAACTGAACACAGCGTAAAATGTAAAGCGTCGTTGTTTGAAATATATTGAAGATTTCGAAACGACTTCTATAAAATTTATTAAAGTGGATACTCGATTCCTATAGACCACAAGTTATCCCGCAGATTTCTTCCTGGATTTCTTTGACGATGAGCAATTTAATACCAGAACTAATGCAAGTAAAAGATTCGGTGAGATAAGATATTATTCAACATGGGAACTGAGCTTCTCCCCTCATATTCCATGGTGGAAATCAAGTTAAAATAAAGCAGGAACTTTTTAGTTTGTTTTGAACTTTCATAGTTTTGCATTTCCTTGTTTCCTTTTCTCGAGACACCCGTACTCATACGTAAACTGAATTCCTCTTTCGTTAATATAATATTATCCATTACAATCACAGCATTGTCTTGAACCATACAAGAAGAATAAGCCAGTATTTTCTTTAATAGTTTTTATTTAGTGCCCAATATGTTGTGATTACATATCTCAAAAGAGAAATTTTTCTTCTTAAATACAGAACATAAAGAACAAACTACATAGCACTAAGAAGATATAATTATTTCTCACATTTAATTGCGATTGACCTCTTGTGCTTTGCTATAAATAAGAAACTAAATCCACGTTAAGCTACAGGTTAAGTACATGTTATTACATATACAAAAATGTGTTCTTTTTTATGCATTTAAATCACAAATAAATATTTAATTTATTTCCTAAAGTTCAACCTTAAATTTATCTTGAATGGTAGTTATACTGACATGCCTGTAAGAAATCACCACACACATCTAGCGCTGTTACACTTACTACAAAACTCGCACAATGTTATCGAACCTTTTCTTGAGGCTTGCAGGCATTAAAAAATGAACAATTTTTAAACCAATGATCTTAGCATATAAATTAAACTTTTCTTATCTTTAAAGCACTTGATGATTCTAATTTCATTAAATTTTATATTTCAAATTGAGAAAGAAATGACTGAAAGATTTCATTGATCAAAAATTTTATATCCGGCACTTATCTCAAATAATGTCTGATTCCATTAATATTTATTTATTTGTAGTTTAGCGCTACCTTCTGCCCATTTCTAACTAAGCATTTCATCTCGAAAGCCATTCTTTAAGGGTAATACTTTCGTTTATCCATTCACCCGAATGAGCATAGTAGTAGTAAATATCGGCAGTTTTTCCAAGGCGAAATATGGGTTACTATTAGTGACGTTTGGTGCATGAAATATAATTTTTAAATCTAAATCATCTTGAAATAACTATAGATTTTACCTGTGTTCTGCTTGCTTTTCAGCCTTTCATTCTGAGAAATTGTGCAAATTTAATGCTAATTTTTATGCAGTTATACTTCTCGTATTGAAAAAGGCTGTTGTGCATCATAATCGCTTTTTGTTGATCATGTGAAATATGAATGTTGCACATTTTGCATCCAAGAATCTACAGAATTACTTTATTTATGGTATGATATTTACAATGTATTTTTGAAGTTGTAATTAAGATTTTGTGTAAAAAAATTCAAATACTATCTGTGACACGTTTTTGTATGAGTAAACAAACTAAGTCTATATAGTTGCGGATGGTTATTCTTGTTCTATGTATAAAAGATGTGAATTCTATTGTAATTTAAAGATTCGACTAACAGTGTTAAAGAAATATATTCTTTTATGTGTGTACATGAAATTTGACTGATTTTCAATTATTTAATCTTTAATTTTATGTAGATTCCATTTAAAAGCACTTAAGAGTGGTTAAAAATAATTTTGATTGTACATTTTTATCAAAATGCTAAACGTAATCAGTTCTGAACTGAGTTGATAGAATTTATATTCATAGATGGAAAGGTTAATATAATTATTTGTAGATATTTGATATTGAAGTGAACTGATACTTGCTTCACGTTTTGTTTATGTATAGATTTCCTTGTATTTTGTGTGCATGTGTGCATATATATTGAATATTTACTGAAAAGAAAATTTTACACAAAGTGGATATTATCAGTTCATTAAAATAATAAAGAACTGTTTATATCTGGAACTGTTATGAAATAGGCGTCTGCATTTGCTTTTCTGAGTTTTGTATCCTTGACTCTGTGGTACAGGAATGAACGGCTGCGTCCGATTTCAATGAACTTCTCCAAAAGAAGCATAATTATATAGTCACAGCTTTAATTTACATTTGAAACAATGCGGCAGTAAAGCGTATTGTAAAAACATACGTTAAGACATTTAAAACTCTATTTCTAGCGTAAACCGTCTTTCTTTTATGCTCATTGCTAATTCAAAACTAGGACATTCAAAAGTCGTAGCGTCAGTTAAAATAATTTAGTACTAAAATTAAATATTAGATGTTGAGCGCTAATTAATTATTCAGGAACTAATTTGGAAGCGACTAACTCTTTTATCGACAGTTGGTTCAAAAATGTAGGCAATCACAGTTTTTCAAACTCATCGGAGTAATTACATCATTTAGCTCAAATTTTCATTGTATTGTTATAACGTGTAGTTTTTCATCGTGTGCGCAGTGTTCCAGCTGCATAGATTGGTTGATCGACGCTTTAATATAGTACCACAGGTAAGTGCAAGTGGGGTAGGGTGCCTTATATGACAATTGGCGTGTCAGCTTATGTGCGTTCCTAGCAGTTTGTGCGTAGCCTTTCAAAGCAATTTTTATGTATCGTTTCTATATTTAGAGCTTGTCGTTTTTAGCTGCATATTTTTTTAGAGAAGTCATGCTACATATCTGCCCAAAATGTGCCTAGTCAGGACCTCAGTATGACATCACTGTACATTCCACACCTCATTTGGTCGCCTTCAGTTCAAGGAATAATGTTTGCGGTATGGAATGTATTGTCTTTGTACGATGCTGCCACTTAGTGGTGAAGTGATAGTGTGCAAAAATAAAAGTGTGGTGATAGATAAAACGTGTCTGTTTTATTTTTATTGGTTATCATGTCTTACCGTACCTTTCTTTTCTTTTTAATGAACTCATACACAACAACAATATAATAAATGATTTGCTAATGCGATATAATGCATTAATTGCCTGACATGATATGAAATGATTCATTATAATAAATGTTTTCCAAATTTGATTTTATGAAATCTATGAATAACTGATGAGTAACATAGCAGAATTTAGCAGAATTTTTAAACCTCTAAAGTTTTTTAACAGTTCATTTTTCTGCTTGTTTGAAAATTTATTAGAAAATGCACAAAATGTTTTCAGAAAATTTTGTATAGAAATTCATATTTTATCCCTGATAAACATGAAATAATGAAAGAAGTATACAAACTATTGGCTCATGCGCATGGAATCAGTTAAGTCTAAATGTGAACGAGGAAGTTGTACAATTTTAGAAAAGCTAATATGAATTATGTCAACCTTATGTCAAACGTTTTTGCAGGTTTCATAACAGCACGTCCCAACTTTTTTTGCGGGTGTTAAAAATTTTTAGGGCTATAAATTGCATTCTTTCTTCAAGGGTTTTCTTAGCCCATGTTAGATTTTGCTTTGCAATGTGATGTGCTCCAAACACTCTTTTCGGAGGACTGAAGATATTCTGTATGGTATTGAAATCTGAGGACTTGATGGCCTCTCCATCCTCAGAATACTCTTACATTTAAGTATTCATTCACCAGTTTGATGTGTGAGAGCGTTATTATTCTTTAAAAATAACCAAAATCCGATATTTCGATTAAAAGCCTTACATAAAAGTCTTCGCTCTCATTCCTGTATCTCAGAGCAATCATAAAATGCCATGGAAACATGTAACAGGGTGTACCCTAAATGTTACAACAAACTTCTAGGGAAGGTAGGGCACATCATAAGGATTAAGAATTGCAATAGGTACCTATACCCGAAAATGTCAGGGTTGTAGAAGATGGGAAAGAAAATAAGGGAGTGATTAATTGTAAACATTTATTTAGACATGAATACAAATAGTATTTCGACAGCTTGAATGTTACAACAAATGCTCGAAGTTTGCACCATCAGACGCCAAACATGCCTGACACCGACGGGCCATTGATTGCCGTGCATTTTCAAACACACCGGGAGTATTTTTGTATTGTAGCAGCTGCGCAGGCAAATTTTGCCACGAGATCCATTTCAGGCACAACAGGATTGTGATACACGACACGTTTGATGGCTCCGCGCAAAAAGAAATCAAGGCTCGATAAATCCGGTGAGCGTAGGGGCCAGGGAGCCAGTCCACCACGCCCAATCCATCGATGCGGGAATGATCTGTTGAGATAGCTACGAACATCCAGTCCAAAATGAGCAGGCGCTCCAAACCACATGTTGCGCCCCACATTTGTTGGAACATCGTCAAGTAAGCCGGGACGAACTTGCTCCAGAAAGGTCAGGTAATTCGAGGTATTCAGCCTGGGTGGTAAAAGATACGGCCCGACTAAGCAGTCGCGACCAAACTCGGCCTCACATTGACTTTGAAGCTTTGTTGTGCCGCACACCGCGGGGGTTTTCTTAAGCCCACAAATGCTAATTGGGGTGATTGAACACGCCATTCCTAGTGAATGTGGCCTCATCCGTGAACAACACATAAGCTGGGAAATTAGCATCACAGGCACTTTCTTGCAGAAACCACTATGGGAAACGCACACGTTCAGGATAGTCATCGGAGAGCAATAACTGGACCCTTTGGAAACGAAAGGCGTGGAAGGACTCTGCGTTCAAAACACGCTGGATACTAGTTGAGATTGCTAGAGTGCTCCCCACCCACCTGATCACGAAGTGATCTTATAATCTTAAAGGGGCACCCATAAAACCAAAAATAACTAACCAAGAAAAATATATGTTAGTACGCTGGATATTGGTATGAAACATTCTTAATTGAGAGGGTTATGCTGGTTCTTGGATTACTCTCCACCGTATCCAACACATTTTCTTCCCTAACGACCGAGCGGGTCGATCGTGGCCTGCCCTCACTTGTTCTGCCACTTCTTAATGACCCGTAGTCACACAAAGTTTGATGCAGACGTGCGAACAAACTGTGGTGTTGTTGATGTCTGTCGGGGAAGCGTTCTTGATAAATGCGTGCAGCGGCTCGTCCATTAACCTCAGCTATTCCATACACTAAGTGCATGTCTGCAAGCTCTCCGTTCGTATAGCGTTCCATGCTCTTCGTATGGTGCCTACCGCTCGAATGAGGCAATCCTCACTTTCCACTAGCACTCTCCTGTAGAGCACACCCTAGTGGCGTACCGTGACGTTTCTGTTCATGGGTTTCTATGCAATTCCTTAATCTTGTGCCCTAGACGTTTCTCGCAACACTTACGGTACATCCTGTAGAGCACTATCCATCCATCCCTGATAATACTACCAATTTAGTACTTATTCTACGACGGTGTGTGGAAATTTTCAGGTATTTCACCCTTTCCAGGTGTAAACATGTCGAGAATCAGTAAAATGAATCCTTAGTCGTTACTAAACAGCATACAATCCCACTGAACTCAGGCGAAAACTGTGATGTGTGTACCAATACCATACCGGTGCTTCTGTAAAAACAAGAGTATGGAATGCAAATCATTAGGGTTTTTTTTTCCATTAAGACACCTCTCACTGGTCTTCTATATACTGTTTTTCTTGATATCCAAGTCCAGAGAGAAAATTCTCTGGTTTCTAACTGTAGGCTGAACTGAGTGTCTAGACCAGGATTGGGCAGACTTTTCCAGGGTACAAGCTATTTTTAATTTTTTCAAGGTGTTGCGTCCACCCAGTGGCGTAAGTGTGCTGAGCTAAAAAAAAGGGGTTTACAATATTATTACAACTTAATAATAAGTGTAGAATATGTGCTTTCCTACATAAAAAAACTTACTCTTTTAAAACCGCGTTTAAAGCAAAACGAAAAATACAAACATACTAATAATAGCACCAGTGTAATAATTTTAAATGTTGCATTTCTTATCAAACAATTCAATATAAATTAAAAAATAAATCATTTTCAACTAAAGTTAGTTCTCGTTTATATTTAGTAGAAGAATTACATTGCATACTGTCTGCCAGCCTTGAATATCTAGATATATAATTACTAACTGCTAATCTTGCACTGGATTTTAAGTGGTCGTCTCTGAGATTGGAACGATATGTTGTCTTAAGTATGTTTATCGTTGAAATTGCAGATTCACTCAGGTAGGTGCAGCAAAAGAACGATGTTACATGAAATGCAACTTTTATTAAAATTAGGATACTTTACTTCGTCCATTAGATTCTAAAAGTTATTCTTAGGTCCTGAATTACGTGCTTTTAAAATTATGTCATTTTGAAAGAGAAAAACTTCGTTTTCATCAAGAGATAAAGAGAATATATATTTTCAGTTATTTCTTCCACATCAACATTGCCAAATAGGTAACACATGAATGTAACAATTGGTTCTAGGGTAGTAAATTCTTGAATACATCTCTTAAATTCGGAGTCAAATTTTATTATTTCATCATAATATTTATCTTCGTTTAACGTACCTCCGTTTTTAAACAACTCGTCAGAAATATTTTTGAAATTTTTTAGTTCATTCTCATGAACTGGGAAAATACTAGCTCTAACTTTTTTTTGAAAGTATCAACAATTCCAATCAATTCAACTATTGTTATATTTTTCCTTGTAATTTTAAGTTCAGGTCATCAAGATGGCTTGTTATATCTGCAACAAAAGCTAAAGCCATGAACCAAACGTCATCACCAACGTATTCTTTATCATTTGATTCCAAAAATTCATTTACCTATTGTAGTATGCCCCTGAAGCTTTGTAAAAATATACTCCGGCTTAACCAACGAGCATCTGCATGATATAACAGTTCCCCGTAATCAGATTCGTTTTCTTCTAGTTGGGCACGAAACATTCTTCGCTGAAGACTCCTTCCTTGAACCGAGTTCACAACTTGCATGCAGATTCTCATAACATGACGCATATTTAGAATTTTACAACAGAGGGCCTGTTGGTGAATAATGCAATGATAAGAAAAGAAATGCAGTATGTCATCGTCTCTTATACACATACTCAAAAAATCCATTGACTGTGTCGGTCATTGATGGGGCCCCCATCAGTTGGTTGTCATCAATGCAACTTTAAAAATTGGAAATTTTTTCTTGAGACTGTTGCTTTCAGTCTTCTAAATGCTTTCCAACTCCGTAAGACACATGTAAACGAATACAGAACACCATTATTGCTAAATTTAAGATTCGGCTTTTGATCATCACTGAGTGTAAATAATTTTACAGGGAATCAGCCTTGCAGCTGGATAGCATTTTGAAATTGCCTTTGTTTCTTTATCCCTGTATTAGACGTGGTTTTGAAAAGACCTATACGAATTTGCAAGAGGACAGTCATGGTCTTCAATATCTGGTTGCAATGAGTGGAAATACCTAGTAGATTTTGTCGTGGCTTTTGATACGACATAAACGTGATAGAATTTTGCATACGGTGATAAAACATTCAACCATGCTTCAGTTTCAATAACAGCAGCTTATCAAGACGATAACACGCAAGTTATCAATAAAGTACGTTACACGACTGTTATGAAAGTATATTGAAAACTATTTGCATGGAGCCGTAATAAAAAAAGCGAATTAACCCAAGATTTATTTTTGTTGCTCCAACATGCAATCAGGATAATACTTGGTTGCATATTCTGATATATCATAACACTAGTGTCTGAAATCGATCTGTCACCATCATACCCAGCGTCTAGTGATATGTGAATTCAGGCGATTCTCAACAGTGAAAATGCAACTACGCCGGACGAGGTTCTCTTCAGAAGAAGGAAGAGAAATAAGCCACACTATGGGGCTAAATAAACTGTTACAAAACAGTCAGTATCATATTTTTGAAAATCAGCTTCGAAACGTTTCAGTCAGCTCATGTATATTCGTAGCATATTTCTTATTACGTACTTCCTCTAGTCAGTCG